AAAAAAAAAAAAAGATTTCGGGAGTGGGGCCGCACAAATAGGCAAAATGTCTGCTGAGGCTCCTTATGGGACAGTGATGAAAGAAACACCAACAAACACTGATTTAACTAAAGGCTATCCTAAGATGAAAAGGCAGCCTACTAAAAGCCTGTTAGCATTTGCTACCACTTATCTGTGGAAATCAAGATTTTTTTTGGTTCTTTGCAATCAAAATTCAAAAATAAATTGATGATGTGGCTAATGAAGACAACTCTCAACCATCACCATGCCTTTCAGGATGCAACAGAACACCTTTGTTCTTCTTGTGGATTAATCTGATTTTTGTGCTGGAGATTTGCATGAGATTTTGCTCATTACTGAAAATGTTTCCTCTAGTGAAAGTCTGAGCAGCCTCCTGGTTATGCGGGGTGACCTGGGTTGGGCTCACCTGGCCAGGTGGCAGGTGCAAAGCAGAGTTCTAGAAGGGAGTCTGCTCATGGCCTCATAGAGGCAACTACTTCGGTGAGCAGTGCTGGCTGCCCCTGCCCAGAGCGTTGAGTGAGGAAGTAGAGGTGGCAGAGAAGAGGGGTGCAGTGGGCTGTCGAGGCCATGTGGGGCTGTCTGCAGGACTCCTCAGGAAGGTTCAGGACTTAGGTTCAGGGCAAGGAAAGACAAAGACTTTTATTGCTACAAAGTCGGGTGGGGGACTGAAGCCCCCAGATGGTATACAGGCTTGAAAACCAAATCAGGTTGACCAACAACCAGTTACCGTCATGTGGTATTGCTGCGACTTCTGAATTTCCCGTTTGGGGTTTTATTAGCTTTTAGTGAAAGGCGACATTGTGAAGAAACCCAGATTAGAATTCAGCTTATAAAACAGCTGAGTGAGAAAGTGGGATAGGGGAACCGGGGAACTATGTAGAAAATCATTCAGCAATTATTCGACAAAGTAAAAGCCCAAACACCGCTGTCTCTTGTGTGCCCCTTAAGCTGGCAAGTAGGAAAGGGGGTGCAGAGCCGGAGCCCAGGGAGAGGTGTCTGTGGCTCCCTCACTTCTGGTCTCAGGCCTGGAGGGTCCTCTGTTCTGAGAATTTTCCATAGGCAGGAGCTGGTTTCAGGCCCAGACAGACTCCCAAAGTTAAACAAATGAGCCTCCCTCACTGGCCATGACTTTGCCATTTGGAAATAGCTTTGGGGCTCCAGAATGAATGGGGAGCCTCATGCAGACCTGACTGACATAGGCTTCGGCAGCTTTTGGGAAAGTAATAAAAATGAACCCAGGAGTTTGAGACAAGCCTGGGCAACAAAGTGAGATCCTGTCTCTACAAAAAATTAGCTGGTGTGGTGGTAAATGCCTGTGGTCTCAGCCATTCTGGAGGCTGAGGCAGGAGGATCGCATGAGCCCAAGCAGTTGAGGCTGCAGTGAGCTGTTTGTTATACTACACTCCAGCCTGGGTGACAGAATGAGACCCTTTCTCAAAAATAAATACAAATAAAAAAGAAGATGAGACAAGCAGTGGTCTAGAGAAGTGAGCACTTTGGGATGGCTTCCCAGAGATAAGTAGGTGACACAAACCTTTTCTTCCCAGTCCCGTAAAGAAAAAAGTTTTTTTTGGGGGGGAGGGGTAGGGAGAGGTAGGGTGGAGGTTCCATTTCATCAAATCAGAAGGTGGACTTGAGAGTTTATAGGTTTCCCAGACTATGAGGCTCCGCCCAGCCTTTCTGTCTCTGCCAGTGCCAGGATGCTGCCTGTCCTACCACCTGTGCTGAGCGGGTGTCCCTAATGTCCATGATGGTTTAGGCTGGAGTAACTAGAAAAATAACTAAGTTCGATTCCCAAGGAAGAAACTGTAATTCGATCACCGCCCAGCTCACAATGGTGACCTCAGTGTGTGTCTTAGCCATTTTGCACTTAAGATTCTCTGTCTACAAAATGGCAATCTGCTGATATAAAAAAAAAAAAAAAAGTGGAAGAGACAATAAAATAAAATCCCAGCTCTACTGAGTTATAACAGCCAGAAACCATGAGCCATTTAAAATTTAGTTTGTCTCATGTTTATGAGAAAGGATAAAATAACAGATATCTAAACCAACACCAGGGACTCTTTTAAAAGCTCAAATTCTAGGGCACCAGTTTTCAACTCTGGCTGCACATTGGAGTCAACTGGGGAGCTTTTGAAAAACACCAGTCCCCAAACTCCACCTCAGGCCAATTAAATCCTAATCTCTAGGAAGGAGTTCCAAGCATCTATATGGGTTTTTGTTTTTTGAGTTGGAGTCTTGCTTTCTTCGCCCAGGCATGATCTTGGCTCACTGCAACCTCCACCTCCGGGGTTCAAGCAGTTCTCCTGCCTCAGCCTCCCAAGTAGCTGAGATTACAGGCGCCCACCACCACGCCTGGCTAATTTTTGTATTTTTAGTAGAGATGGGGTTTCACCATATTGACCAGGCTAGTCTCTTGGCCATGCTTGAGACGAACTCCTGACCTTGTGATCACTGTTACAATAAGGGACTGGCGCTCCCAAGCCCCCTGGCCTGCTCTGATATTCTAATATGTTCAAGTTATCTTTTACAGAATGAAGTTGGACTCCTACCTTTTTGGGGTGATAAAATCTACCTAACACTGTACGTAAAAATTAACTCAAAATTGATCAAAGACCTCTAAGAACTGAAATTATAAATCTCTTAGAAGAAATTAAAGACATTTTTTATGACCTACGACTAGGCAGTGGTTGCTTAGATATGACACCTAAAGCACGAATGATAACAGGTACTATGAGATTCAACTGAGAGATAAACACTGACTCTAAGGGCTTATTTGAACCTGAAGTACCTCCTAACTCTTATGAAAAGTTAAAGTGTATTCTCCATGGTTTCTATGTTCAGTGAATTTTAATAGCCTTTCTAACATTAAGAAGCTAGAACTTATTCCTTAGGTATTATGCGTATCTTAACACCAGATTACTGAACATGACCAGAACATTGCATGGCTCTGTCACAGGTGAGCTGCCAACTCACTGTGATATTTTTAGAGATCATAATTCTTTGGTAGGTAACCAAGATTAGTAGAAATGCAAGTTCAGATTATGGATCAGAATCAGTTATATGGAAAATGTATACCATAGAAGAAAATAAATTCCAGCCAGGCAGGGTGGTTCACACCTCTAATTCTAGCACTTTGGGAGGCCAAGGTAGAAGGATCTTTGAGACCAGGAGTTCAAGACCAGCCTGAACAACATAGCAAGACCCTGTCTCTACAAAAAAATTTTTAAAAATTAGCCAGGCATGGTGGTGTGTGCCTGTAGTCGCAGCTACTTCGGAAGCTGAGGTGGGAGGATCACTTGAGCCCAGGAGGTCCAGGCTGCGGTGAGCCATGTTCACACCACTGCACTCCAGCCTGGGTGACAGAATAAGACCCTGTCTCAAAGGAAAAAAGGAAAAGAAAGAAAAGAAAGGGAGGAAGGGGAGAAAATAAATTCTAAATAAGTTAAAAAGTTAGAAGTTTAAAAAAATTGGTTGGGCACGGTAGCTCACACCTGTAATCTCAGCACTTTGGGAGGCTGAGGTAGGTGGATCACTTGAGGTCAGGAGTTCAAGACCAGCCTGACCAACAAGGTAAAACCCCTTCTCCACTAAAAGTACAAAAATTAGCCGGGTGTGGTGGCAGATGCCTGTAGCCTCAGCTATTCTGGAGGCTGAGACAGGAGAATTGCTTGAACCCGGGAAGCAGAGGCTGCAGTGAGCCAAGATCATGCCACTGCACTCCAGCCTGGGCGACAGAGTAAGACTCCGACTCAAAAAAAAAAAAAAATATTAAAAGATACATTTAAGAGTTTTGAAAACAATGCTGAAGCATCCTATGAAAGCCACAGCAAGTGATAATGATGTGATAATAGATCAAAAGAACACAAGGGAGATCTCCTAAATAGACTCAAACTGTACAAGGAGGGGTGGTTTGGAAGGAGGAGTTAGATTCCGACCTCATGCCACACTCAAATACATCAACTGCATGAAAGATTTATTTCACTATTCCTTTTACACTTAATAAAGGGGTGCTTGCTAGTGGAAGTAAAAAATTCAAACAGTACAAGTAAAACGAAATTCTTCTTGACTTTCTTTTCTCCTTTCTGCCTCCACTTCACTCTAACTGCTATTTGGTGTGTGTTCTTCCTGGCTGGTTTGAATATATACATATACAACTACTATGTATTATTTTGTGTATTTTTAAGCACAAAGAGGATTCTATTTTTCCTACTTGATAACTTGCTTTTTCCCCCACTTAATAGGATGTCTCAGAGACCTTTCCAGATCAGTACATATGGGCTTACCTCATTCTAATTAGCCACTACGTTGTATTCCATATTAGAGATGTACCTTGTAAGCATTCCCGTGTTGGTAGACATGTTAAGAAGAAAAAAAGAACATACTTGAACACACCTCTGTATGTCCAAATATCTTTCTCCAGCACAGATTTCTCATAGCAGATTTACTGGGTATGTGTGCATTTTATTTTATTTTATTTTATTTTTTAGAGGCAGGGTCTTACTCTGTTGCCCAGGCTGGACTTGAACTCCTGTGCCCAAGCAAACCTCCCACCTCTGCCTCCCAAGTAGTTGGAACTGCAGGCATGTCCACCATGCCCAGCTAGCATTTTAAATTTTAATAAATTCTGCCAAAATATTATCCAAAAAAAGGCTTTGTGAAATTACACTTTCATGAATGGCATGGGAGTGATTCCCTTGCCAACTTTAAAAAAATTTAAATTAACCCAATAGGCAGAAATCATATCTCATTTTTAAACTTTTTTTTATAAGCAGAGAAAAAACTTGTAGAAGGTATTACTTCGTTTTTTGTTCCTTTAGTCTATACACAGAAAGCTTCCTGGAGCTGTCTTTGAGAGCACATATACTAAAATTGGAACAGTGCAGAGAAGATTATCATGGCTCCTGTGCAAGAATGATGTGCAAATTTGTGAAGTGTTCCATATTTTAAACCACACATTTAGAGATAAAAAAGAAAAAAAGAGAAAACTACCTACGAGTGGAATGGGGTTAGGATAATTAGGAGGATTAGTTAGAATTTTTTCTAGTTAGACTTTTTATTTCTAAATTGAAATTGTAGTTTCAAGTTGTTTTAAAATAATAAAATTTTAGTTTCATGTTGTTTTAAAATAATAAATGCATATTGCCTTTGGAACTTGAAAAACAATAATTTTTTTAAAAGAAAAACAAAGCCCTCTTGTAGCATAATTTACTGTTACATTTTCTCTCTCAGTGCTGGGCAAGCCTAGAGTCGAGGGTGGCGGGTGAACTGTGTATCAAAAGCCTTTGTCTTCCGGCAGTAGCAATACCATACTTCTCTATGGCCATGGGCAACTAAAGTCTGAGCATTTTGCATCTTGAAATGATGGACTCACGTGTAGAGAGATCGTTGTGTGCATCTGCACTCCTGGCCTGTTCATAGAAGACTTTGGGGGCAGCAGGCAGAAATGTTTGTCAGCCTACATTCTGATTTTTGGTTTTTTTTATTCCAAGACAGAGTCTCATTCTGTTGCCCAGGTTGGAGTGCAGTGGCGCTATCTTGGCCTTGACTTTCTTTTCCCCTCTCTGCCTAGCTCCACTTTGGGAGCCTCTGCCTCCCAGGTTCAAGTGATCCTCCCACCTCAGCCTCCCAAGTAGCTGGGATTACAAGTGTGCACCACCACATTTGCTTTTTTTTTTTTTTT